GCCTTTCAAGCTTACGGGATACAATGGTGGACCCACTTGTGGAAGAATGTTCCAAAAGCCTCTTAGAAACAGATTATCCCGAAGATCTCCTAGGTACATACAAATTAAACGAAGATATCACAGTACACTTGAACAAAATAGCAGACAAATGTCTCCAAAAGACCAAACATCCCAAAATAACCAAAAAGGGATCAATAAATAAACAACCCTGGTTCACACAAGCCACCAGAGAAGCTAAAATATCTTGTACTCGTGCAGCTCAAATTGTTTCTGATTTCCCCAATAGCGATTATCTTCGAAAAAATTTTTACCAAGTAAAAAATACGTACAAAAGTTTAATTGACCGTACAAAAAACAAATATCTTGACAAATTGAATACAGATATTGAATCTGGTAAAATTCTTAACTGGAAACAATTCAAAAAACTGAAAAAATTTAAAGGAAGAGTTGACAAATTTGATTGCCATGACATGGACAACTTTCAAAAATTCTTTGGTAAACTTTATGCCAATGCACATAGCACCATAACTGTAGAGAATAAGGAAGAAATGCTTCAAAATGCAGAGGCTATTAACAATAATTTCCAACCATCCCCTGCACAATCAATACTCAATGGCCAGATCTCTGTGGACGAAATATCTACTGCGATCTCTTCACTCAAAAACGGCAAAAGTTCCTCGGAGGATATGATATGTAATGAAATACTGAAGACCTTGTCCACAACAAACACACAACTCCTTTGCAAAGTCTTTAACCGCTGTTTGGACACTGGAACTTACCCATGGAACAACAGCATTATTACACCCCTACACAAAAAAGGCGACAAAGATAATCCAGACAATTACAGAGCAGTTGCTGTGAGTAGTACAATCGGAAAACTATTTTCGACCATCATGTTAAACAGGATAATCAAGTTCAAAAATGAGTACAACCCGGACCCCATAAATCAACTTGGCTTCGCTAAAGGAGCTCAAACATATGACCACATACTCACACTCAACACCATTACGTCTAAATACAAAAAGCTCAAGGTTCCCGTCTATGCTGTTTTTGTGGACTTCCGGAAGGCCTTCGACTCTGTTTGCCGTGAAGCTCTTTTCTTAAAATTAGCTAAACTAGGTATCACTGGCAAAACATTTAATGTTCTTAAACATATGTATAAAAATTCCACTGGCCAGATAAAACTATCTGGATTTGTCAGCGAAAAATTTGATATCAATAAAGGAACTGAACAGGGTCATCCACTTTCCCCTGATCTATTTAAGATATACATCAGAGATCTTTCCCCTCGACTAGAATATGATAACTGTCCGAAACTAATGAACCAACTTATCAGTCACTTACTATGGGCAGATGATCTGATACTCTTGGCACTGGACCCCAAAACCCTCCAAAAGCAACTCGATGCTTTGAACAATTTCTGCTTGGAATGGGGCGTCGAAATTAATGCAGATAAAACTAAACTCATGAAATTTAATGCCCGTTTTGATACTTATCAGCCGGTTCCCCTCAAAATTGGTGATCACTTGTTAGAAGAAGTCGAGTCATACTGCTATCTAGGAATCGAAATACACAAATCCGGCACATTCACAAATGCCCGAACTGAGCTCAAAAAGAAAGCCATGCGTGCACTTCATGCCATGAAAAGCTCAGTAAACAAATCCAAATTATCATTCCGCTCTATAACAACACTCTTTGATGGTCTTATTAAACCTATCGTTCTTTACGGAGCGCCTATTTACACACCTAACATGGCTATCATAAAACACATAACAAAACAAGTCGATCTCAATATGGATGCCGACACAAAAACAAAATTTCAAACTAGTATCCTCAAGAAAATTAGCCTTCTGAACAGCGAAAAAGTTCACCTTCACTTTCTTAAATGGTCACTGGGGGTAAATCGTAAAGCCAGCAACGCAGGCGTCTGGGGTGAGTCAGGCCGCTACCCATTAATCTATGAATGTATTAACCTCACTCTCAAATATAGCCAACGTTTGAAAAATCTCAAAGATAACTCCCTTGTCTCCTTAGCTTTCAAAGAACAGATGAACATGAAATTGGACTGGTACAGGGGTTTGGAGCCTCTCCTCGCGCTAGACCCATGTTTCTCTACCGATCATGTCACAGCCTACCGCACACTCAAAAACAATCACTCCAAGTTACTTTTCGAAAGAAACCCGAGTATCGCAAAACCACCAAAAGAGGACTTTCTTATTCACAACGGTTTCAAGAAACGAATTCCTCCTCAATCAACACAACCCATCGGGAGTAAAATATTCACACCACACGTCATTACTAAAACTTTGAAATGTAACTTTAGAGAATATTGGGGGTCTTGTATCAACACTTCTCGGAAATTAGAATTCTATCGTGACCTAAAATCCAAATTTAACAAAGAGTATTACCTAGATAGTGTCATTAAATATGCAGACCGTGCTAATATCACAAGACTGCGGATCAGTGCACATCGACTCGAAATTGAACTTGGCCGATATAATCAAACTCCACGTGACGAGCGAATATGCTCCTGGTGCAATATAGTCTTAGGTTCTGGTATTATTGAGAATGAAGACCACTTCCTTAACCATTGTGATCTTAACGCTGCATCGAGGCGAAAAGTCCTAGACAAGATCCAGTCACTCATATCAAATCCAATCAAACCGTCTGCGACATCTTATTCTGTTCACAATGTCATCCCTGGAGCAAACGTCCTCAAATTCATCAGCAACAACAGTGAAATCATTGAACTTATCACGAACGAAAGTCAAGTCCACCTCACGAGAGTCGTTGCTAGGTTTGCCACTACGTGTTTTAACAACCGCAAGAAATTTGTTGACTCTCTGGCCAGTACATGAACAGTGAACACTGAAAATCACTGTACCCGCTTTTGTTTCTTTTCGCGCAACGACGAGTGCAAACTGCAAAGTGACCTGGCTCAAGCATTACAGCATTACCAAGGCGACTGAAAACAAAATATTTTATGTCAAATCTTTATTTTTCACTTTAGTTAAGTTATATTAATATAATAAATTCAAATCTTATGATATTGTTATTATCTTAACAGTTACTATTGTAGCTCAAGATTTTAAATTTGTATTCCTTGTATTCCTTGTATTCCTTGTATTCCTTGTATTCCTTGGATATGACCTGTTTAAAATATTTCCATCACGTTACATTACATAATTCTCAATAAATGTAATAGATTTGTTATAGTGTTGTAATTAGTTTTTATGACATCATGTTTTTGTTTCATGGAGCAGTTACAGCTTCCGAAAATATTCTCATCATCCTACCATATGAAGACGTGAATATTTTCGGAAGCCGTATTTAAATTGCTCCACGAAAGAAAAACCCCCTCATTTCACATCAGAATTAATTTGAAATGAAACATAGTTGTGGTTGTCAATTAAACTTTATCTACGTAATTTAAAATTATGATTATCTACGTAATTTAAAATTATGATTACCGGGCCATTTAAAGCCAGATCAGACTATTTCAAATTATAACATACCATTCAGTATAGTCTGAGACGAAACGGAATCTCGTTAGCTTTTCGTGTTAAAAGCGATTTCTCAACGGTTATCACCTCTCTAGATGATTCTCAAAACATTTGGACTTTATTGCATTTTTGCAATAAAGGCCACACCCTTTTTCAGGGTTTTGCGGTCACTCGAATTTTTGTATTTCAGTCCAGGAAGGTCTTAAAGACTATTCCGATACACCAAAATGTGTCTAATAGCCACATTTATATACAACTTATGAAGCAACATATACCTTAAAATACTTCGTTTCGGAAATATGGCCGAAAAACGGTTTTTGGCTTGACGCAGTTCAAATTTCCGTATTTTTGGCATTTCCGCCTAGGAAGGTCGTAGAGACTATTCTGATACACTAAAATGTACATAATGGCCACATTTATATACAACTTATGAAGCAACATAAAAGGCTTATTTTCGGAAATGTGGCTGAAAAACGGATTTTTGCTGAGCAATAATATTCACAAATGGGCTATTGGACTGTTAACTAGAACGGTCTTAAAGACTCATGAGCAACATAGCATTTGTCACAAGATGTAAGATGAGTCACTTTCTGTTCAGAAACACCTACAAAAATTAGAGAATGATCTACATCTCTCTTAATGGCTATGTTGCTCATGAGTCTTTAAGACCGTTCTAGTTAACAGTCCAATAGCCCATTTGTGAATATTATCGCTCAGCAAAAATCCGTTTTTAGCCACATTTCCAAAAAATAAGCCTTTTATGTTGCTTCATAAGTTGTATATAAATGTGGCCATTATGTACATTTTAGTGTATCAGAATAGTCTCTACGACCTTCCTAGGCGGAAATGCCAAAAATACGGAAATTTGAACTGCGTCAAGCCAAAAACCGTTTTTCGGCCATATTTCCGAAACGAAGCATTTTAAGGTATATGTTGCTTCATAAGTTGTATATAAATGTGGCTATTAGACACATTTTGGTGTATCGGAATAGTCTTTAAGACCTTCCTGGACTGAAATACAAAAATTCGAGTGACCGCGAAACCCTGAAAAAGGGTGTGGCCGAAAACGCCCTTATTGCATTTATTTCAAAAATGCAATAAAGTCCAAATGTTTTGAGAATCATCTAGAGAGGTGATAACCGTCGAGAAATCGCTTTTAACACGAAAAGCTAACGAGATAGCCTTTTAGAACGGTTGGGATCCGACTAGTAGGACTAGGAACCCTATCCAGGAATAATCTCGTTATAACGTTTAGAATTTTATTCTTGACGAAGCAAAAAAAGCCGCAAACTATTTGGTTTGGTACATCGTTGGTTCGACATTTCGTTTATTGCAGTAAGCTTAAAATGTTGACTTTAAATGTCTCGGTCTCGTGTCTTTACGACCTTAATAACGTAAACCGTGACCTTTGAGGCGCGGTCGCGAACCTGGGTGATGCAAATTAACGAGGAGAAGAAATCAAGAATGCTGTGGTATAAAAATCAAAATACCACATACCTGACTTGCCACCAGAGGTTACTACCACGAGGTTTAGAGGGAACCACTCCGCACTGAAAGTGGACTATTCCAGCACTGTCCACTACCCAACCCACCTGGATAATATTTTTATTGAATAATTACTCGAAAATCGAAATTATATAAGATTATAAAAATATCATTATGTGACAAAGTTATGATTTAAGCACAGATTGCTCAAATCCAACGATAAGTAGTGACCTCCTGCACTTAGAACCACCTCAACCCTCTGTTGATTAATTTATCATAATATGATTATTGTTGAGCAGCAGCTACTGCATGATCGCTATATTGATATTGTTTTATTTTGCCGTAGAAATAAATTGTAGTTTTGTTATAAATAATTGTTTTTCTATTAAGGGTATTATGCAATGCGCAGCTTAATGCATTAAAAATTATTTTAACCAACAAGTTGAGCACAGCTTGATACAGATTTATTAAGCAATAAGGCCAATTTGCACGTGACACGCGTAGTGTACTGATGTGTATAAGACATGAGTAAAATTCAATTTTTGCTTACAATTTCTAAAAACAACGAAAATGCCAAACGCGACTCATTATATTACATAAAGTGTGCTGTATAGAAATTTTACAGTTTTTACTGAATTTCTGTCCAGCGACCAATTCGTGGGTTAGCTGTGGATAGCATATGACACGATCCAAAGTCAGACTCCCGAAATTATGAAAAATGGAAAATCACCAATATGCACAATTATCGGTTTAAAATATTAACTTTCTTAGACTGAAATTGCTCAGGAGTCGCACAAGTTGTTCTAGCATCCTAAATTTTCAAAAATATAGTTCACATTATGATCATTCAACCAATCTATGGTCATTAAAACTGTTATGTGTTTTTCATTTAACAAATTGGCAAGAATTGATCACCCCTTAATATCAAGGGAACTGAAAAATACAATTTTCCTGCATATGATATTATTAACTGTAAATTCCAGCACTCCCTATCTAATATCCATCAAGTTTTACAACAAACATGTCATTAAAAAAGTCCACATAAAATTCCTCACCTCCCAGCTCCTCCCCACGTGGCACCTCTTAACGTTGTTAACACTGAGCACGTGCCAGGAATTGCCCAGGGGCTGAGCAGGAGTGATGCCGTGTCTTATCACCAGTTTACCCGAGTCCAGCACACCCCAGACCACACTGCTGTTTACGGAGAGGGAGGTGATGTTGAGGTTCTGAGTGGATACTGGAACCCACTTCTCACCCTGGGAGGAGACCAAGTTATGGTTTCTTTTGTAGGTTTATAAACAAGACGCGTTGGAGTTGGACTCGTCGACGGTCTTGAAAGCTAACATTTGGAACAAATATTTTACGAGTATCACCCGTTAATGGTTTCCTGGGTTTTATTGATACACTGGGTTGTATGATTAGTAGAGGGTAGTAAATATTAATAGAGGTTATATATTAGTGTTGGTTGAATAAAGTCGGTCGTTTTCTCCTTGTATTGAGAGTTTCAATATAATTCGATACCTAATTATCCTTCGTATTCATTGAAATTGAAGGGTGCCGCGTTTCCGCAGCACCCGCTACCACAAATTATATGCCCAGAGTAGGACGATTTGTCCTAACTGCAGATTTCATCTAACCGTTGTGCAATGGAAAGACTCCGCCCGGAGGAAAACCCTAAAAGATCGGTTTTAACCTCGACATCAGGTAAGTATGCTTGTAAATGTTCAAAATGAGGATATATTTTCAATACAAAATGTTTCCTTGTGTTTGAAATATGATATTTAAATGGTCATATTTTATCTTAGTTTGATGACCTACAACCTCCACCCACAAAATAAGAGCTGATTTAAAATATCACTAGAAGACGCGTCAAACCAAATTTAATGTTTTTGACATAAACATCATCAAATTATTCACAAATTGAGGAAATTTATATTTGATCTTGAAAATCTTGGACCTGGTTTTTATGTAAAATATATGTTCATTCCAATGAGACAAATCTGTGGATCCTCTAAAGACACTTTCTGGGGAAAGTATTACAATGTAATAGGTATCAATAGGTAAAATCGTATCATTCCCATATATACAATATTGTACATACTTACATATTATTATTACCCACATACAATATATACATACTTACATATTACACATTATACAATATACATACTTACATGATACATGGGACTTATTAAAATGAAACATGTTCTGTATCCAAACAAGTCACCCCAATAAAACGAACCTGAGGATCCTCAAAAGACACCCCCGACCGGTAAAAGAGACGTTGTTTCCCCTTAGCCACCAGCAACCAAACACTTGTCTCATCCACAGCTACAGTCAGCGCTTCTAACATCATTTCGCTCCAATCGGTTCCTTGGGGCTGGCCGTATTCTATTCCAAACCTGAGGAGATGATGTTACATTGTCATGACAGTATTGTTACATGTTACATGTGACATGTGACATGTTGTATCTCTGTTATCAGACCAGTAGGAGAGATGATCTGTACCCAATTCAAGGAATGTTTTTATACACAGAGTGATTGGTTTTCTTTAGACATAAGTAAATATATGTCGTATTTCATGACATATGTTGTCTCGTCAATTACAATCAATAGATTTCAATCCAATAAATGAGCTGCTCCCTCATCTTATATCTGCTAACCTAACAACAGCCCGCTTGTTAGTAGTAACACCCCAGTCCCCACACTCACCTAACAACAGCCCACTTGTTAGTAGTAACACCCCACACTCACCTAACAACAGCCCGCTTGTTAGCAGTAACACCCCACACTCACCTAACAAGATCCCGCTTGTTAGTAGTAACACCCCACACTCACCTAACAACAGCCCGCTTGTTAGTAGTAACACCCCACACTCACCTAACAACTTAACAAGATCCCGCTTGTTAGTAGTAACACCCCACACTCACCTAACAACAGCCCGCTTGTTAGTAGTAACACCCCACACTCACCTAACAACAGCCCGCTTGTTAGTAGTAACACCCCACACCACATTCCCCGAATCCGACACACTCAGCGACACTAGTTTGGCTCCAGAGACGCGGTCCCAGGAGAGGGGGTTGCCCCTAGTGTTGGGGGAGTAGTACACGTTCCCCCAGTTATCGGTACACCATACTGACACGTTGGAAACTGCCAGGCAGGATATAGTCACGTACATACGCGACATGGTCGGACCTGTGGGGTTTTATCATGTAATTAATCAAATAATTGATTAGATTAGATTATCAATTTATTGAATTATATTAATAAACTCTTATTTTCATTATAATATATGCCATTTAAATGACTAATTTTGGCCTCATTGCCTTTTTCATCGTTTTTAATGTTTTTTATCCTACCTCTAAGTTGAAGCCAACTATCATCAGTTAAAAACACACTATCCTACCTCTGAGTTCAAGCCAACTATCATCAGTTAAAAACACACTATCCTACCTCTTAGTTCAAGCCAACTATCATCAGTTAAAAACACACTATCCTACCCCTTAGTTCAAGCCAACTATCATCAGTTAAAAACACACTATCCTACCTCTGAGTTCAAGCCAACTATCATCAGTTAAAAACACACTATCCTACCCCTTAGTTCAAGCCAACTATCATCAGTTAAAAACACACTATCCTACCTCTTAGTTCAAGCCAACTATCATCAGTTAAAAACACACTATCCTACCTCTTAGTTCAAGCCAACTATCATCAGTTAAAAACACACTATCCTACCTCTTAGTTCAAGCCAACTATCATCAGTTAAAAACACACTATCCTACCTCTTAGTTCAAGCCAACTATCATGATCAGTTAAAAACACACTATCCTACCTCTTAGTTCAAGCCAACTATCATGATCAGTTAAAAACACACTATCCTACCTCTTAGTTCAAGCCAACTATCATGATCAGTTAAAAACACACTATCCTACCTCTTAGTTCAAGCCAACTATCATCAGTTAAAAACACACTATCCTACCCCTTAGTTCAAGCCAACTATCATCAGTTAAAAACACACTATCCTACCTCTTAGTTCAAGCCAACTATCATCAGTTAAAAACACACTATCCTACCTCTTAGTTCAAGCCAACTATCATCAGTTAAAAACACACTATCCTACCTCTTAGTTCAAGCCAACTATCATCAGTTAAAAACACACTATCCTACCTCTTAGTTCAAGCCAACTATCATCAGTTAAAAACACACTATCCTACCTCTTAGTTCAAGCCAACTATCATCAGTTAAAAACACACTATCCTACCTCTTAGTTCAAGCCAACTATCATCAGTTAAATACACACTATCCTACCTCTTAGTTCAAGCCAACTATCATCAGTTAAAAACACACTATCCTACCCCTTAGTTCAAGCCAACTATCATCAGTTAAAAACACACTATCCTACCTCTAGGTTCAAGCCAACTATCATCAGTTAAAAACACACTATCCTACCTCTGAGTTCAAGCCAACTATCATCAGTTAAAAACACACTATCCTACCCCTTAGTTCAAGCCAACTATCATCAGTTAAAAACACACTATCCTACCTCTGAGTTCAAGCCAACTATCATCAGTTAAAAACACACTATCCTACCTCTGAGTTCAAGCCAACTATCATCAGTTAAAAACACACTATCCTACCTCTGAGTTCAAGCCAACTATCATCAGTTAAAAACACACTATCCTCTCTACCACCACTCTTCTCCCCCAGTAAGAGGGGTGAGGGTACAGTGAGTTGGTGCGGGGGTGGGGAGGCGGCAGCCTCGGTTGTCAGGGGGTCTTCACCGAACTCTACTGAGGGTCTTCTTTCTAGATCGTCTGAGAAGGAAGGGGTTATTGTGAATTGTAGATATATTTAAATATTAGTTAAGTTATATGGTTATTAGTTAAGTTACATATACTAGCAGGAACCCGTCTAAGTGTAACCCTAAAGTGGCGTCAAGACTCAAGAGACTTATCTCTTATTCTTATTCCTTGGCCTATTTTTTTATTTTTTCATGCTGATTTAAAGACCATTAAAGCATTTGAACCAGTCAAAAAGTTTAAGTTGTATATCTTTTACGGTTTTTGCGGAAAGTCGTGTTAAAGTTGATGCCGTGGTTTCAGTAAAATGGTACGGATATATCGTCTCGCTTTATATAGTAAGATATTGAATTATAGATATAGTTGAACATATCTTTAAAGTAGGCCTAAATTACTTGATGTTGTACATAAAGGCATTTATAAAATGCCGATCTTTAAATCGTTGCCTAACACATCCTCTGTTGAATCGTTTAGCTATCTATATTAATATGAAAATAAATGCGGCATTTAGGAAATGCCGAAATCATAGACATTTATTAGGACGCAATGAAACTATCGGACGATGTATGGGGACTTGCCACCCCCTGGCAACATTAAAATATATCGACTCTGTTATATAGTTTAGTCTAGACTCTATGACACCATAACTACTTAAAACTTACATAAATCAGCAGTTGACTCTGAAGCTGAACGGGTCGAGTAGATATCGCTGGTATCTCCGTCGTAACTCTGTTGGTGCTTCCTTCTGTGGTCCAATTATAATTACATAATTAATTATAATTAGATAATTAATTAGATTGTTTTTAAAAATACTGTTAAGTTTGAATGGTAACAACTAACAAGGTTAAACTTACATTTCTGATCAAGACAGCTGAAGAATAAGAATATCATAAAAAAGGAAAGTTAAAACCAGCAACCTATCTGAGGAGGAGATCTTATGATCGACACCCTTATGCTGGGTATCAAATCTCTGCTGACTATGTTCAGATGTGGAGATATTATCCGAGATATTGGAAGATAGATCCCCGTCTAGGATTGTTGAGGAGGAGGTACGAACTGAGGATTTGTCATCTTGATCGTTGGTATCCCCGATCTGTGGAGAACAGTTAATTTGATTAATTAATTAATTTTTATGATCTTGCACTAAAATTTAATACTCAGAATTCGTAATATAGAAACAACTACAATTGCTAATGAAGGTTCAAGAATTTAAACATGATTCAGGAAATGAAACGTGAAGGGTATGATACTGTTATCAGCTCAGTTTGTACTACACACCTCTTCATCACTATCAACATCTTCTTCCCCGTCAGAGTAGGGGTCATCAAACTCGTACACAGGCAGTCCCAGATCGTCTAGTCTCAGTATACCCTCCTCTAGGTTAGCAAGTCCAATTAGTATCGAGCTCACGTCCAGGCCTGGGGTGACATTTCTTTAAATTCTTCAAATTCTTTAAATTCTTTAAATTCTTCAAATTCTTTAAATTCTTTAAATTCTTTAAATTCTTTAAATTCTTTAAATTCTTTAAATTCTTTAAATTCTTTAAATTCTTTGAAATCTTTAAATTATGCATAAGTAGTCCTTAAAAATTGGGTCCAAATTTGGTGACCGAAAAAACGATTGTTATCCGTATTCGAATTCTGATCCGAATTTAACATGGCATCGAAGAATTGATCATCAACTCTAGAAAGATACAAAGCTTGCAATAGATTCTTGTGATAGAGTTATAACAGTAATTTAAATCACATTTAGCCATTCCTAATTGCCCATTAACCCCATTTATTGAGGGATGCGATCAATAAATGCGGTCACGTTTCTTTTGTGGGTGGCGGCTAAATTTCCCGATCCGCAGCACTTTATCTAATTTATCCAATTCATTTTCATTTCTCAGTCTCTCTATGCAAGTTCTAATAACTTTGCAAATATTACCACTATTCTGACCGTCAATAAGCCATAGACTGGGAAACAATATGTTACTGACTGTAAATATGAAGGATCTCCAAAATACAGTGGAACTTTACACAAATCTAGAATAGTTACCTACGAAGAACATCCCAAAGATCTGATAAGTGAACACGAAAGTACGGTGGAACTGCTAATTACTGTTAAACAGAGCGACGAATAATGTAAAACATAAACTACATTGCAATTAAAACTAAAACTTTCACAAATTTCTCTGCATTAAGGCGGTTTGGGTTTAGGTAAAACTACTGTTACTTTCCATCACGTACGAACCGCTGTACGTGTCCAGATTAGATCAAGTTCTTGCGACAAGATTTAATTATATTATATATAAAATATAATCATGAATAATATGTTATCGACTCAGACTCTCAGTCGTAATGCACAGAAAAGCTGAGAGGGAAAAATTCTCAGAATTCACGCACATAGAATTCCGACTCATGCCGGCTCCGATTTATGAAAAGATACACATTGAATTTCGAAGTGGCGAACGGAATTCCGACACGGAGGCAGATATATATGATAAATTAGAGTACGTGATTTTAGTTTTTTTAAATTAGGGCCATTATTTGAACAGGACAAGCTCCGGCTTTCACTGCATAAAGATGCAACCCCCATTATACCGTGGACTTCTGGGAAAGGAAAATCTGCGGAACATCGAGTTTCGCGGTGAATCGGGGATTTGACTGTTATACGATCCAATCAATTGGTCTAGAAGATATTAAAAAATTAAATTTACTCAGCAGTGCAAAAATTTACTCATCACTATATTTATTTCATCATTCATTGCGGTCCTTTTAATAGACCAAAAAACAGTGAAGACTTGCAAGAAGATTGAACATATTCTATCAAATGATGACACTAAATTTAACAAGCAAATATAAAAGATCAGTCGAACTGCTCATAAATTTTTAACTAAACTAAATAAAGCATAAATTTAACATAATTCTGAATAGGGTAATATTTAAAGCTTACAGTTACACAAGTTTCCCCACATCACGTACAAATAGTTGAGAACTGTACGTGTTTGTTCTTTTCGAGTTGTTACTACCAAACAAAATTATACATAAAATTGAATTAACACAGACATAAACTACTGAGACGGGGTATTATTTCCAGCAATCTCAGAGGAATATTTAAATGACGTAAATGGGCCTAATAAATTCCAGAATTTGCTGTTTGGTGTTGACAACATCAGCCGAGATGCAGTACGTCAGTTAGCACTAAACCAAGTGGAATGGAGAAACCTGTTTATAACGCCGTATAAGAGATGTGTGTGAAGAAGGCCACTGACCACTCCAACGACTAGGAGGAGACTTCTTTATGTAGCATGTATGGTATGTCCTGAAGTGCTTCACTGGGACCCTTGGTCTATGGAACTGATACTGTTGCTCTCCTCTTCAGGACCAAACCAATGGTGAACTTCCGGAAGTGATCGTTGGTGATGAAGTATATAAAAGGATTGGACCAAAAAGAAAGAAACACGACGAAAGTCACGTAGCGTAGCTTGTAGTCATTTTCGTCCCATGTATCCGCGCTAAGCAGCATGGAGTATACACAGTATGGTAACACTGAAGTAAGGAAGGACACAGTTACCAGAACGACTACCACGATATTTTTCTTATTGACGGAGTTGGTTGTTTTCTTTACAGCGTAAATCACTAGAAAAGTGTTCATAACAATCAAAGTCAGGCAAGGTAATCCGTTTAGGAGTATATTAGTAACGTATTCAAAAATAGAATGCCATCTTCTGGTAAATGATATAGAGCGTTCCGCACAAGATGATATGACATCCACAAATTTTACGACCAAAGTACGCTCAATAAACGCTCCGTGGAGAAGTTTAAGTGGAATTATCATCGCTAAAATGATGACCATCACCGTTATAGACCATCTCTGTTTCTTGGAACAGTCTAGAAATCGTAGAGGAAACAAACATCTCATCATTCTATTCAGGGCCAGTGCAACAATCAGGAATATATTGGCTACAACCCCCGCAAATCTGTAGATAACGTGGACCATACAGAATGTGTCACCTAAGACCCATTTCTCCGCGTGAATAGATGAGATGATTGGAATCAGGATAAGGATAGTGTTAGCGAGATCTGTAACAGCCAAGTTCTGTATGATCCAAACAGAGAGTTTGTCCAGTTTGATAGCTTTGTGGTGGATTGTTGAGTGGATAACGAAGGTGTTTCCGAGAACTCCCAGGATGAAAGATGTGTGGCACCAGACTAATGATGGAATGTAGGGGAGTGTCATCGTGGAGATTCCTATCGGAAATATATTAAACCATTGAATTTTGTATTGAGGTATCGGGGGTATTTAAGGGGTATTTAAGGGGTATTTCGGGGGTGTTTCGTTTAATGAAAGGAATTATACATTTTTACGTTGATGAATAGTACGTTGAGAGTTGAGAATATTGTGCATTTTTAACAATAACAAGAAATACTCATTCCGCTAAAATAACGCCATGATAATGTTAATTCTCATCATACGTTTCATAATCAATATTCAATATACGTATGATAATTAAAGTATCCAACTAAGTTTTGTTTCAATAGGTTAGGTAGGTAAAACAACAACTAACTATCACTATTTCTACAAAAGCATCTACATTCTACGGGTGCTGACTGCTATGGGGCGAGGGCTGGGGTTTAATGACCAATGACATTCCATCATAATGGTCTTTTTCAAGGAGAATTTGGGAAAATTATCTGCCTAAAACGGTTATAAAACACCTATTATCAGTCTTCTAAATAAATGAGTGGTATTTAACTTGGTGCCAGCTGATAAAAAACAGTGTATTTTTCTTTAAAAATATAAGTTTTTTAAGCGATTTAACAAATCTTGTGGATATTTTGCGGATATTTTGCTATTAGTATTATTCGGAAGTCTCAAATATATTTTGCGGATCGAATTCTCTGAAACCATTTTTGATCAGCCCTAAAGAATTATCATTGGAAGAAACAGACATTTTAATTTTATCATGTTTATATAGTATATACTTTGAGAGTCCTTGAAGCGGCCGGCGACCACATTTTTACGCGAATGTAGATTGTAGACCAAAAATCTGTATTATTCTCAGATAAAAGCGTAATAATAGCGCGTAAAAACTAAAAATGGTCCCGTCGACAAACCTTTTGGCGTTATTAAATATAAAAAGTTAAAGTTAAATAGTCAGACAGTCTCTGAAACACCAAACAATTGCCCTTAGTATTACGTAATCAGCCGAGGGGGGGGGGGGGGGGGGGGGTGGAGTTGGGTCTTGATTACGGTTAATTACTATAAGCTGTATTCTTATAAGCTGTATTCTTATAAGCTTATAATTATATAAGCTGTATTATTATAAGCTGTTTTCTTATAAGCTTATAATTATATAAGCTGTATTATTATAAGCTGTATTATTATATTAGCTGTATTATTATATTAGCTGTATTATTATATTAGCTGTATTGTTATTGGCTTATAATTAACAACTTATCACAAACAATATCATCAAAACAGCAGTGGACGGATAAATATACCCACCGATCTCCTGTGGCTGCGCGTCACTCTCCTCAGTCACGTGACAAGACATCTCAGTAACTTCTACACTCTCGGCATTCTCATTAAGTTGTAAAACAGGGGACACATCATACTGTTGTGGAATGTTGGTAGGTAGGAACGTTGGTTCTTGGCCCTCCTCCACGATTGTTACTCCTGCTACGGAATCCAGGGTGTCGTTTGAAGAGGTCTTCTCCTTCCGTGATCCTGAGTGAAGCGTTTTAGTTTGTGGGATAGTTTGTAAATTTTAATATCTGATAAATGCAGGAAACAGATCACAAATTTAAACGCATATCCCCAAAACTCGGGACGAATATCCCCAAAAAGCCCAAAAAAGCCCATCTCCCAACTTACGGTGCTTCTTCCTCTTGATCCGTATTGCTATCTTATCCTCATCCTCATCACAGTTGGTAGAACTACTGTGTATGGAAATAGTATCTTGGGAAGACAGTGATATCTTGTCCGGCTGAATAAGTGTTAGTTTAACACATTTAACAAGAGCTTATCTGTGTTAATTAATTTAAATTTCTCATAAGAAACATATGCTAGGATATCATTAGTAGCAGTTAAAGCTTTGTTGATGATGATCTGTAACTCGACGGGGGTGTGGCTGAAAATAAGGTTGTACGAATCACCATAATCCATATCTTAACACTTAAAACAGGCTATCAATGAATTATTTGTAGGCTATAACATTTGATCATTATAAATAAAAAGGAGTGATTCAAGTCCCGCTTATAGTTGATTGTCACGGGAACTGACTGCTAATTATTTCGCCTCCCCCCCCCCCCCCCCCCTCTGCCTGTAACTGACCTCATATAACGGTAAGGTAGAGTCAGATGTGATGAGTTGTTTGTGTTTGCTGGGACTGGGGGTGAGACCTAGCGAGGTTATCATCTTCTTACCAATATTAGTCTTTAGCTCTTCCATTACACTCCTCTCCGGACTGAAATGTTAATGGTTAAAAGTTCTAGATGGCTCTAGAAAGTAGTCTTTAATAGTCTACAATATTAGTCTTTAGCTCTTCCATTACACTCCTCTCCGGACTGAAATGTTAATGGTTAAAAGTTCTAGAAGGCTCTAGAAAGTAGTCTTTAATAGTCTACAATATTAGTCTTTAGCTCTTCCATTACACTCCTCTCCGGACTGAAATGTTAATGGTTAAAAGTTCTAGAAGGCTCTAGAAAGTAGTCTTTAATAGTCTACAATATTAGTCTTTAGCTCTTCCATTACACTCCTCTCCGGACTGAAATGCTAATGGTTAAAAGTTCTAGAGAGTAGTCTTTAATAGTCTTTAATAGTCTACAATATTAGTCTTCAGCTCTTCCATTACACTCCTCTCCGGACTGAAATGTTAATGGTTAAAAGTTCTAGAAGGCTCTAGAAAGTAGTCTTTAATAGTCTACAATATTAGTCTTTAGCTCTTCCATTACACTCCTCTCTGGACTGAAATGTTAATGGTTAAAAGTTGGCTTGATGACGTCACAAGGCGGCTTGATGACATCACAAGGTGGCTTGATGACATCACAAGGTGGCTTGATGACATCACAAGGTGGCTTGATGACATCACAAGGTGGCTTGATGACGTCACAAGGGGGTTTGATGACGTCACAAGGTGGCTTGATGACGTCAAAACGGACTGAGATGTTAATGGTTAAAAGTTCTGGAAGGCTCTAGAAAGTACTGAAATGTTTTAGAAAGTTCTGGTAACGTTAAGTTAATAACATGAAAGTTGCTTGTTTATTTTTATTTTTTATTCATCCAGAATAACAATCGCAAGAGTGGGCAGGGGACCGGGAAATGTTTCGTTTTTATCTTGAAGCATAATTCATCTAACCAGCTTTACTTCGACTATATCATATTTAACGCTACAATTCGTATAACTTACTTGTAAGTGTAGTAAACTTGAATCATCGACATGATCACGTGATCAGATCGACTAAAAAAATCGCGTGCCGCTCAGAAACTAAGTCGAATACCTCAAAGGAGGAACCTTATGACAGCAGAACTAAGTTTCATAATACGAGATGTAATATCCGACATATACAGTAATCAACAAACTACACAAAGGACAGAGGGCGGGAGATGTGTATCTTAATGAAGTGTCGTAACACACGTGAGCTTCAACCACCAAGCGCTGCCAGCACGTGCGATACAAATATCAGCACGTGCAATACAAATAACTGACGTAGTCCTGTATTACACAAGAAAGCAGCAAGATTACGTTTTGTGTGACAGGGAGTAGTACTACAGGTTATAATAAGGTTGCACAGAGTTGAGTCAGTTTGAGTAGGATAGATTTCAAATAGTGGATATATTACAGTTGCACTGTGTATTTAGAGTAGATATAGTGCACTGTTGTTTGAGTAATGATGCAAGGGTGGGTCTGTGTTGTGTTTGTGATGCAGGGTTTTGATTGGGGACCAGCTTTGCTTACTGGCCAATGTTTACTTCAAATATATATTATTATAGATACAAAATTAATGTAAAAAAGTAGCACAAAATACTTGATAACTCCTAATCTCTATATGGCTGATAAATGATAAATGTGATTATTAATCAGGAAATATGTTAAAAGATAAAATATAAGTTATTATGAAGACTGTCACTGAGATGAATGCCAACTGAATGCTAAATAGGCTCTCGAGATCTGTTTAGCTAATATCTTTAAATAATCATTTGAAACTGACCTTGTTGAAGTAACACTGTCAGTCACTGACATTTCCAAATCTACAGAAGACTCCATGTTGTCAGATCCACCAGAGGTCACTATGATACTTGGTTCCTGAGTAGTCGGCGTGACGTCACTCGATTCACACGTGACATCGTGAGAGTTTGTAACACGGTCTTGTGGGGTGATGGTGTTGTCACAAGAGGTAAGAGTATCATCATTTGGAATCAGAGTGTGGTCACAAAAATAAGACGGATCTGTGTGCTCTTCTTTGTGATCTGTGTGCTCTTCTGTGTGCTCTGTGTGCTCTTCTGTGTGATCTGTGTGCTCTGTGTGCTCTTCTGTTGATCTACCGGACAGATCAAAATTTAAATTGTTCTCATCTTCGTTGTTAGTTTTTTCTATTGTCACCTTTACTTCTGTTAGATCACACGGTGGCTTGATGACGTCACAAGAGGGTTTGATGACGTCACACGGTGGCTTGATGACGTCACAAGGTGGCTTGATGACATCACAAGGTGGCTTTATGACGTCACACGGTGGCTTGATGACATCACTTGAAAGTTCAAGGGAGTCAATAAAAGGATATTTAGCGTCATCTGATAGTTTAGTGACTTCGCATGATACAGAATGGCCAACACTCGACACGATATCAAGGTCGGGAACTTTCTGAAGGGGGATAATTTCAGAGTTCTCATCCCGTTCACAGATAGATTTTACAAAATTGGTGATTTCTTCGAGTTTTTCTTTTGGAACCGGCTGGTACTTTGGGATTTGCGTTATGATTTCATTTGGTTTATGAGGATCTATTTCTTGAGTTTTATCGGCGGCTAACTGACCGTTCTCTGATTTTATATTCCCGTTTTCTGATATGATTGTAACGCTCTGAGTCTGTTCATTATGGGCTATATTACCCCCAGCTCTATCATTCTCAACATTTTCTGATATTGAACCAAATTCACTATTCGTTGAGGTAATATTTTGTGTAACAATATATCTTTTAATGATATTGTCTTTATAAAGGAGCACGAGAGCCCTGTGACTTGTGTACCAGTCCAAAACAGATTCTTTCAGCCACCCTGAAATAAGTTTCGTTATTTGAGGTACCTGGTGAAATGTGAGCCCAGAACTAAAAGAGAAGAAAATTAGTAATACTCCTACAGGGGATTGCTTAAGTAAACTGTAATCTGTACAACATAGAAATGCTATGTCTGTGTATAAAGAAATAGCCAAAATAGCTGCCAAGATTGGACAAATTCGTTACGTCTGCTGCACTCGTGGAATCATGGATGTCACTATAATAATAAGGCGCCTATGTAAACATTTTTGTATGGGCCATGGGGATGAACAAATTGTTTTTTGAAATCTTCATACCCTACCCTTAATGTCCAGGTGAAAAAAAATTTGTTGCCTGAGTTACAAAAACCAGCGGTAAATTTCTAAAATGAACTTGACGGTTGCTTGGCGGAAGCGGAAGTAGGTCCCATATTTTATACCCAAATTCACCGCTTTAGAATACATTTTTCGCGAAATATACCCTCGTGCGCGCACAGAATCCATCCAAAATTCATCGCGCGTTCCATTATAACGCGTCCCACGTGACATTATTTTACCTAAATTTGACACCAGGCAATTCTTGACTACACAGGGCTGCATTAACCACTGTATCATTGTGTAGAGAGATTAATCATTGACACACACAAATCTTACCCACTACAGTTAGATCGACTGTCTCCACGAAGACAAACAGGTGCTTGAGTTGGATTATTACCAGCTTTTCATCTATTCGTTCCACGCGGTTTATGATTCCGGATTTTGGGAGAAGGGAAGCGAGTTTGGTATCCTGAAATAGAATGGAGAAAAGGGTGTTTAGTGATTTTCTCGACGAAAATATTTTAGCATTAAACATAGATATTTATGAGAATATTGATAGGCAGCTAAATAAAATCTGTTTAAAGATTTTAGTACTAATTGCAATATGATGAGACTCTGTAAAGTTACTAAATATTAATGACAGTGTACGCCACTAAGCCAGTAACTATTACATTGAGTACAAGTGATCGTTTCTTTGTCATGATCTTATAGTTGGACGTCATATACTTTCAACACTACTATATAACAAATAATTCGAGGAAACGATGTAACAGAGTCGATATATTTTAATTTTTCATGGGGTGCCAAGTCCCCATACATCGTGGTCCGATAGTTTCATTGCGTCTTAATATAATACTTATAGCTATGCGAATTTGTACAGGCTGTTGTTTCGGCAAACAACTTGATCAGTGATCGACTGGCCGAGGGTACGATTTTATCTTGAAAATTAGGATCAACCGACGACTTAAATAGTTAAATAGATATAATAATTAAATACCTCCTTGAAATCATCGCCTTTTTACAGAAGGACAGATAAAACACACACTGTGACAGGAGTTAAACTAATTACTAATCGTGTTTACACACTAACCTGGGCTGAATCTTCACAGCAGCATTCCAGAGGGCACTCGTTTAATATTTTGCGCAGTTGGATAGTTTTAAGAACGTCTCCGCCGGTGTTTGCGTACCATAGGCGCAGTCCTGGGCGCGCAACGAGGACTGTGTAGATGTCTAGTACACAGGCGCCAAACTCTCCACTGAGGAGTTAATTGAAGGTTAATTGAAGGTTAATTGATGGTTAATTGATGGTTAATTGATGGTTAGTCGATTTTTCAAAGCTTTCTCCGAGAATCTAACTTCCAGTTCCTTAAATATGTCTTATGCCACCCACAGATAATCAATTTCGGAACTGGAAATTTCATATTATATATTTACTAAATAATTAGTAATTAATTAGTAATTAATTAACTAAAATTCTAAATTACTTTTTCCGATCTTTAGATCCGACGGATGTTACAGAACAGGTTTCGTTCTCCATCTTTAATAGACTTGTCTTGATTACTGTTGTTAGCAATATGAGTCTGAAAATATAAGTGAAATTAACATAAGGGATTAACTTCTAATCGAGCTTTTTGTTAAGAATTAAAACAATTTAATTTAATTTCAGGTGGAATAAAAATGATGGGTGTTATCATTTTGAAGTTGCAAGCTGTTTCTTTTACCTTATTTCTATATTTAGAATATTTTATCAGTTTTCTAACAGGGTTAATAGTAACATTAGAAACAATAAAGTACTGAAGTATAGGCTCTTTTAAATATTTGAAATATTTTCGTACTCTGCAGATATAAAGAATAGACTGAGAATCTTGTTTGGCTCGCAGTGAATAACTCTGCTAGAACTGAAAATACCCTGAAAAAGTGAGATTTGTTTGCTTGTTTTATTGATAACTTATCAGCTTCCAGAATCAATCAATGAAGACCCAAAATCTTGTCACTTCTCAAAACATAACTTTTCACGTGTCAAAACATCAGTATTCAGATCTATAACATACCCTGGCCCAGTCGACTTCTGATATGGTTATCTTTCCATCCTTATCTACACTTGCAACTTTATTATCGTGGTAACTTGCAAATTTCACATTCGTATCATGTACTTTGCTGATCATCTGAACGCATATTATGTCAAATATTTCAAATATGTGATAAGAGACAAGAGTGTAGTGATTTATGATTGCATTTATCACGATTATCTACCAGCAATAATTTAAACATTATTATATCATGTAATATATATAATGCATAAGATAACTCTTTTATTTATCATTCTGAGACACTCTCTTTATTTAATAGCAGGCTTAAACTACTTTGTTTGGTCGACATCGACTTATTCAGTTCCACTAACTGCTACAGTTCTGAGTTTCCAACTCTTTCTGGCAATCCTTCCAGACGAAAATATAGAATTCTCGATAAAACGTCTATAACGGTAATATCATAGATTATAACATAATTCCTTTACATGAAAAATGTACATTACAGGCGAAGAATAGGATGATAAGGCTGCAGTGTCAAATTTCAATTTACCAATTCTATCATATACTTTACACACAAGTTATATTAGAAAACTAATCAGAGCAGGAGGAGTTATCAAGGCAGACAATTAATATATTGGGTAAGGTTGCGACAGAATTAACTTAGATACTATACTAATTAATTGGAATGTGGATTGTGGAATGTGATTGAAGAAATATGCCACACTCATTTCTCAGGGCAGTGATGTCATCATTAAATTGAACGACTGAAACCTTAATTGGACAACATCATAAGTAATCAGTTTGTACTATGTACTTTGTACTTTGTACTATATACTTTGTACTATGTACTATATACTTTGTACTATGTACTATATACTTTGTACTATGTACTTTGTACTTAGTACTATATACTTTGTACAATGTACTTAGTACAATGTACATTGCCCAAGATACTGTATATAAAATGATCATATTTCCACTCGCCTGTTTAAGTTCCGTATCAGACCCTGATTGTATCTCCTTGATACCAACATAGCCAGACTCTGTTCCCCAAACTAGCACTCTCTCCTTCAGTTCTAAACATTCTATCTTGCTGTATCCCTGAGGTAAAATATCTTAACTAGCACTCTCTCCTTCAGTTCTAAACATTCTATCTTGCTGTATCCCTGAGGTAAAATATCTTAACTAGCACTCTCTCCTTCAGTTCTAAACATTCTATCTTGCTGTATCCCTGAGGTAAAATATCTTAACTAGCACTCTCTCCTTCAGTTCTAAACATTCTATCTTGCTGTATCCCTGAGGTAAAATATCTTAACTAGCACTCTCTCTCCTTCAGTTCTAAACATTCTATCTTGCTGTATCCCTGAGGTAAAATATCTTAACTAGCACTCTCTCCTTCAGTTCTAAACATTCTATCTTGCTGTATCCCTGAGGTAAAATATCTTAACTAGCACTCTCTCTCCTTCAGTTCTAAACATTCTATCTTGCTGTATCCCTGAGGTAAAATATCTTAACTAGCACTCTCTCCTTCAGTTCTAAACATTCTATCTTGCTGTATCCCTGAGGTAAAATATCTTAACTAGCACTCTCTCCTTCAGTTCTAAACATTCTATCTTGCTGTATCCCTGAGGTAAAATATCTTAACTAGCACTCTCTCTCCTTCAGTTCTAAACATTCTATCTTGCTGTATCCCTGAGGTAAAATATCTTAACTAGCACTCTCTCCTTCAGTTCTAAACATTCTATCTTGCTGTATCCCTGAGGTAAAATATCTTAACTAGCACTCTCTCTCCTTCAGTTCTAAACATTCTATCTTGCTGTATCCCTGAGGTAAAATATCTTAACTAGCACTCTCTCCTTCAGTTCTAAACATTCTATCTTGCTGTATCCCTGAGGTAAAATATCTTAACTAGCACTCTCTCCTTCAGTTCTAAACATTCTATCTTGCTGTATCCCTGAGGTAAAATATCTTAACTAGCACTCTCTCCTTCAGTTCTAAACATTCTATCTTGCTGTATCCCTGAGGTAAAATATCTTAACTAGCACTCTCTCCTTCAGTTCTAAACATTCTATCTTGCTGTATCCCTGAGGTAAAATATCTTAACTAGCACTCTCTCCTTCAGTTCTAAACATTCTATCTTGCTGTATCCCTGAGGTAAAATATCTTAACTAGCACTCTCTCCTTCAGTTCTAAACATTCTATCTTGCTGTATCCCTGAGGTAAAATATCTTAACTAGCACTCTCTCCTTCAGTTCTAAACATTCTATCTTGCTGTATCCCTGAGGTAAAATATCTTAACTAGCACTCTCTCTCCTTCAGTTCTAAACATTCTATCTTGCTGTATCCCTGAGGTAAAATATCTTAACTAGCACTCTCTCCTTCAGTTCTAAACATTCTATCTTGCTGTATCCCTGAGGTAAAATATCTTAAGGCCAGAGGGGGGGGTAAGGGGTCAAAAAATTCTACCAAAATATTATTTTCTAAATCGATTTAATTTTGAATGACAAAAACATTGCCGATATTCACATATTTTTAGCTGATTAACTTTATTTTATAATTGAGGTTAACCGATTTTCACAAAATTGACTATACAACATTGAGGTTAATAAAATTGAGGTTAATATTTTATTACACGCCATAATTTTTTGTTATTTCGGTCAGCAAATGTAAACTCTAAATTTTAGGTTCATAATTATCAGAAAAAGTAATATCCCAACGTGATTAAATGAGGTTAACCTCGTCTTTTAGATATAGCGAGAATAGATCAAATGATAGAGTTACTATTTTCATCGTAAGTTTACGGTATACACATTTCTAAATAGATGACGTGTCGATTGACTTTCTTTTATCTTGGGAAAATTAAAAAAATGAGGTTAACCATCACAATTTGGTACCGTAGGGAATATACATACGATTCTTACTTATGTAATGTACCACAATATCGAAGTGAGGTATCTATTGGTATCACAATGCCTACAACTATAATCACGTGACAAAGGTGATTTGAACTGACCATATTTTAGTAGAAGATTTTACCCGTAAATGGCTAAAAAATGAGGTTAACCTCTCATTTTTTAAATATCTGACCAGTCAATTACATGTTAACCTCAAAAACTTAATCGTTATACTGTGCAAATGTTTTACTACATATATAATAACATATTGATAAACCAATCCCACTATTATATGGTCTAAAGCGAGGTTAACAACCAAATTTTAAGCAGTTAGTGTTTACAGGAAGTCTTGGTTAACCTCATTTTTAACAATACAAGGACATTAACTACTGAAAGTGGCTAAAATCATTTAGGGGACGGCCAGGTCTGATCAAGCAAACGTTATTAAGTGTATAAAAAGTCCTAACTAACGAACTGTGATACATTCCAGTGAATATTCAAAATTTTGAAAACACTAAATTGCATCTATCTCAAAACACATTTTTTGACCTTTCGATTCCTTAGTTGAGAAAACTGGCCACTCCCTGATCTTGAGATTTGGTACAGTGGTTCCTTGGACAACTATCTAGATATCTGGTGCAGCGATTTTTTTTATTTGACTCAGTTCTCGAATTATGAGGTTAACCAATTAAATTTTTCGAATTTTTGACCTGGTTAACCTCATAATTTGAGAACAGAGTCAAATAAAAAAAATCGCTGCACCAGATGTGAGGATAATTGTCCAAGGAACCACTGTACCAAACCTCAAGATCAGGGATTGGCCGGTTTTCTCAACTAAGGAATCGAAAGGTCAAAAAAGTTACAGCCGTTTAAAGTTCCAGTTTAACATGTAATTACAGGTAAACCTCAAAATTGAGCGCGCGATATCTCAGAAGCGCAAGGTCAGATTTTGATCCGGTTTTTTTCTTTTTGTTCGTCTTCAGTAGCTATTATCAAATATGCAAAAACTACAAAAGTGCCATTTACCCCCCCCTCTGGCCTTAACTAGCACTCTCTCTCTCCTTCAGTTCTAAACATTCTATCTTGCTGTATCCCTGAGGTAAAATATCTTAACTAGCACTCTCTCCTTCAGTTCTAAACATTCTATCTTGCTGTATCCCTGAGGTAAAATATCTTAACTAGCACTCTCTCCTTCAGTTCTAAACATTCTATCTTGCTGTATCCCTGAGGTAAAATATCTTAACTAGCACTCTCTCCTTCAGTTCTAAACATTCTATCTTGCTGTATCCCTGAGGTAAAATATCTTAACTAGCACTCTCTCCTTCAGTTCTAAACATTCTATCTTGCTGTATCCCTGAGGTAAAATATCTTAACTAGCACTCTCTCCTTCAGTTCTAAACATTCTATCTTGCTGTATCCCTGAGGTAAAATATCTTAACTAGCACTCTCTCTCCTTCAGTTCTAAACATTCTATCTTGCTGTATCCCTGAGGTAAAATATCTTAACTAGCACTCTCTCTCCTTCAGTTCTAAACATTCTATCTTGCTGTATCCCTGAGGTAAAATATCTTAACTAGCACTCTCTCCTTCAGTTCTAAACATTCTATCTTGCTGTATCCCTGAGGTAAAATATCTTAACTAGCACTCTCTCTCCTTCAGTTCTAAACATTCTATCTTGCTGTATCCCTGAGGTAAAATATCTTAACTAGCACTCTCTCCTTCAGTTCTAAACATTCTATCTTGCTGTATCCCTGAGGTAAAATATCTTAACTAGCACTCTCTCCTTCAGTTCTAAACATTCTATCTTGCTGTATCCCAGGATAAACGTCACGTGATAAGCTGATAATATTATTATAACAGCAAAATGTACTTTTAGTATTCATAGTTCATACCTGTGGAGGAATTCTAAAGCTGACATTACTTTTGTCATTGTAACATATCAAAACACCGACTTCAGTTCCTATTACCAGCCAATCTTCATCATAACCGACTAAAGTGTACTGTAGAGGTACCTGAGAAAATGGATTTTGTAGAAAGCTGTGTAGTTAACCATCTACTGATTATTTTGTCGAGGTTATATAACAGTGTCATTAGTCAAAATATTACATTGAGTAGTGAAGAAGTAGATACAGAGTGTTCAGTATCAATTATATCGATTCGTTAATGATGCAATCTATACGATATGTATCTGTAATTATTTAATCTTGTACCGCATAAAATGTGACTTTATCTTTTAATTGATTTCTGACTAACTGAACAACCATGTCATACAATTAATCATATTTGTCCAGTACTATGTACATAACTAGAGACAAAATACAAATAAAATGGTTGCACCTGCTTCAAGCCATAGTACTTGGGGAGCCCACTGAGCAGAAGTTTGTTTTCTTTAACATGCATAACATCCTGACATATTATGTGGGTTTAGTAAGAATAAGTCTTGCTCCTTTTTGTGGTTAGGTTATTCTATCATCACAACACATGAGATGATATTGAAAGATCACACTGCACAAATAAATTGATTGAAAATCAGGATTAAACGATTTGCAGTTGCCTCTGCAGCCATATGATATATTTTTTGATTTTATTTAATTCATAGCAGACAAGTTGCTCTCAAATTCCACACAAAATTGTTTACGTTTATTCAAAAAATAAAATTTACTTCAAGAAAAAAGTGCTGTGTTCATTACCCTGTGAATATAACCTGAACATTTCAATGGCTGACTTATATCTAAGACTATCAACTTTAGGCCATGTCTGATCCATTTGCAATATATAAGTAAGAAACTTAATCAAACTTTTTATTTTTAGCTATTCATTTTATTAGAGGACGCATGCTGAACCAGCATTGCAGAGCAAAAATAGTGTAAAAAGAGTGAAAAATAATCTATGGTTTGAGATACTTCTCTTTGTTCAAAGAAATTCGAAAAAGACATCATAATATAATATGATCACAGTCATTATTATATGTATATTTATTATTTAAGACAAACGATGGATTTACTGATAAGATAAAAGCGTATTGCAGGCTTGTGTAATATATCACAGGTTGTTGCTACATCCCTTCCTCTCCTCACTGATCAACAGTAACTTTGTTATTAACAGGTGATATTTGTTCCAAGACCGTCGAAGAGTCCAACTCAGCGCGCATCTTGGTAGGTAATAAACCTACAACTTCGATAACCTTTTATTATTAATTATACACAGTTGCTTAACTGAAACAATGAAGGTATGTTCATCGTTAAAGTTTGCAGGAATAAGCCCTACCTATGGTGACAAAACTAAAATAATCATCATGATAACTTGGGAGCAAATATCAATGGAACAAATTGCAGCCACATCTGCCTACAAAAAAAGGAAGCCCTCATTTGAAATCATGCCAGTATAGACAAATTTTCCTTTTAAAAGCTTTAGTTTGGTGCATTAACCTCTGGTCAGATCTAGGGAATGTATTAATTATGATTCTTGGTCTTTCAACTTAATTAATTCTCTCCACTAATATTTATAGACATTATTACATATTTTAAATATAAATAGTTAAAATGACAATGATCTTGAATGGCTGTGACTGGCGACATATCTACAAAAAGCACACCTTACATTCCATACAGCACACAAGCAACATTTACCATCCACAGCTATTCAACTCATGATATTGCATGGGCTAGCTAACAAGCCTTCACCACGGATCTTTGTGTACTATTTGACGCAAAAGGGCGTAGGTTAGAGTAAGCGAGTGCCTAAGAAGTATATCTATTTCGAGGGAAATAGATTTTTAGTTTAGTCTATGTAATAATAATTGCGAATTCAGAATTAACAAAAATTATATTTTTTGATAATTAAATTGCAAAATATAAAAACAACCCTTCAAAAAATCAATATATTCCCTATATCTCAAATTTTGACAAAAATTTGCACATAATTGTTTTTTCTTCCCTATTTTGTTGTTGCAAAAGTTTGGCCCACTCTGATCTGAGGACTTAAAAGTTTTAACGTTGTTTTATATAATTGGAAACAAACCATAGTCTTAATCATAGGAAAACAAAATATTTTAAATGTTTGAAAAATTAAATTTATATTTTTCTTATAGGTTTATCCTAGGAATGATTTTTATGTCATTGATAATAATAAAGACCCTTTAGATTTTATGTTTATAAATAATTTAATGTATTGTAGAAAGAGTATTTCGACTTTTGACTTTAGTACTTTATTTACGTCCATTCCACACCACCAACTAAAAGATAATTTAACTAAATTTGTAAATAGAATATTTAAAATCAAAGATTAAACTTATATTGTACATTTTGAACATTTAAAATATAATTTGAAACATTACAGTAACGTTATTCAAATCTCAAACAGAAACAGTATATTACAAAGTTTTGTGTTTTGATCATATGATCGTGGATGTATAGTGATTGATTACATAATTTTGAATTTGGTTGATGGTGATTGTGAGTGAGAAGATGTTTGGAGTGCAAGCCAGTAACTCTGTCAAATGAACAGCCCACTGAAGAGCGGGTGAGCGCAAGCGCGGGAACAGCAGAGAGGGTGCCACAAAACGGCACACACGGAAAGGACGAAACAAAAAAATACGCCGCGCGCGGTAAGCTTGCCTATGTCTGAGAGCCGGTGTTACCTGGCAGGAGGCCTCAAAGGAGGTGCCGTGGTGGAGTGTGAAGGGAAAGTTCGAGAGCACGGCAGCTCAAACTGATGATGAAGATTGAAGAAGGAGGTCGAGCTGGAAGCTCAGAAAAAGCTAAACAGGAAGGATCCAGCTGAGGTCTGACTCATGTCAGGAAGTGATGAAAAACTCACAGACAGAATCATCGGTGGCTGTCTACCCCGTATGATTTCAGGCATCAGGATACACTGGAGCAGTGCAGAGCTGATTAGTTAAAAAAAAACAAATTTTATTTTATACCCACAATCAATTCATATTTAGTTCAAATATTTAAAGTCAAAATAACCATTTCACATAAGTGGTTATATTATAATAAAATAATTTGTGATAAATTAATTTACACTCAAAAATGAACAAAATATACACAATTTTTACCTAGTGCAACACTGGTTCAGCGCGCGGCTGATCGAAAAAGTTTGATTTGATTTACTAACTACAGTGTACAGCGTACATGAAAAAATTACTTACTGAATCTTTTAATACTAGACACATTTTAATTCAGATGTTGTTCAATGAGTTAGCCACAAAAATGTTCAAATTATGTAGGAGGGTAAAGGACACAATTGCTAGTAGTGCTTCTTTGTGCCCGTTGACTACAATGAACATTTTGCGGAGTTTCTCCAGACGGCTTTTATCGGAGTGCGTGTTATTTACTTGGTTATGCACAAGCCAGGCCAACATTTTGTTTTTGTGTCAGCCGTGCTACCAGGTTGCAGAGTATTATAAAAACTAAACAATTATACACTATACAAATTTGCTAATACAATATCATGCAGAGTCCGATCTAGCTGCAAACGTCAGACACCACAGTTCAGCCGCCAAGTACCGTTTAAGTGAACACCGAAACACGAGGTTTAGGTGTCATTTTGTAAATCACTTTATGGATGGATAATTCAGTAATTGTTGAAGAAAATTACAGTCACTGCCACCTATAGCGTTATGTCATGGGTCTGATTAACGGCCAAGAATAAACGTACGTGCGCGCTTAAGAAACCCGCGCAAATGTTGAGGTAGGGAGTAGCTGCGGCGCGCTTTTAACATATATTACGTATAGCGCCGTACGGAAACGGCAATATTTAAGTAATTAGGCAGAAGGACTTTCGACAAAACTGTACCATATGGAATGGTCGAAAATCGAGTGTTTTAGTAAATAACTTAGAATATATTTTCGGTTTTCTCAAGATCTGATTGATAGATTTTCTTTAAACTTTCCAGATAGTTAGATGGCTATATGACAGATAATGAGTAAGAGTTTGAAAGAATTTCTATATGCCAAAATGGAGATATGACTTCAAACACAAGAAAATATCTCCAAATTGGCGTCTTCTAACGGAACACAGGTATATATTAAGAGATCTGAATAATAGAATTTTTTAAAACTTTCCAGATAGTTACATGGCTATAAGACGGATAATCTGAGCAAGTTTGGGCGAATTTTTATGTGCCAAACTTGAGATATGACTTCAAACACACGAAAACATCTCAAAGTGGCGGTTTTGGTACAATATTTGACGAAAGTCGATTATCTCGAGATCTGAATGATAGAATTTCTTTAAACTTTCCAGATAGTTACAGAGCTATAAGACAGATAATCTGAGCAAGTTTGGGCGAATTTCTATGTGCCAAACTTGAGATATGACTTCAAACACAAGTAAATATTTCAAATTGGCGGTTTCTAGCGGAACGCAGGCATATATTTCGAGATCTGAATGATAGAATTTTTTAAAACTTTCCAGATAGTTACATGGCTATAAGACGGATAATCTGAGCAAGTTTGGGCGAATTTCTATGTGCCAAACTTGAGATATGACTTCAAACACACGAAAACATCTCAAAGTGGCGGTTTTGGTACAATATTTGACGAAAGTCGATTATCTCGAGATCTGAATGATAGAATTTCTTTAAACTTTCCAGATAGTTACAAGGCTATAAGATGAATAATCTGAGCGAGTTTGGGCGAATTTCTATGTGCCAAACTTGAGATATGACTTCAAACACAAGTAAATATTTCAAATTTTGGCGGTTTCTAGCGGAACGCAGGCATATATTTCGAGATCTAAATGATAGAATTTTTTAAAACTTTCCAGATAGTTACATGGCTATAAGACGGATAATCTGAGCAAGTTTGGGCGAATTTCTATGTGCCAAACTTGAGATATGACTTCAAACACAAATAAATATTTCAAATTGGCGGTTTCTAGCAGAACGCAGGCATATATTTCGAGATCTAAATGATAGAATTTTTTAAAACTTTCCAGATAGTTACATGGCTATAAGACGGATAATCTGAGCAAAAGAACATAGACATTCGCCCAAACTTGCTCAGATTATCTGTCTAATAGCCATGTAACTATCTGGAAACTTTTAAAAAATTCTATCATTTAGATCTCGAAATATATGCCTGCGTTCCGCTAGAAACCGCCAATTTGAAATATTTACTTGTGTTTGAAGTCATATATACTCAAGTTTGGCACATAGAAATTCGCCCAAACTCGCTCAGATTATCCGTGTTATAGCCCTGTAACTATCTGGAAAGTTTAAAGAAATTCTATCATTCAGATCTCGAGATAATCGACTTTCGTCAAATATTGTACCAAAACCGCCACTTTGAGATGTTTTCGTGTGTTTGAAGTCATATCTCAAGTTTGGCACATAGAAATTCGCCCAAACTCGCTCAGATTATCCGTGTTATAGCCATGTAACTATCTGGAAAGTTTTAAAAAATTCT